TTTGAATGATCAGATTCTGAGGGTTAAAGGGTTGCACTGCCTGGAAACTGATAAGAAGTGAAATGCCTGAGGAACATCTTCATCAGTGACCTGGACAAGGTGATGGAATCATAGGTTTCATTATGTCTATAGACAACACTAAACCTGGAGAGCAGGGCTGGCCCTCAAAAAGGCCAAGACCAGCTGGATGAAAGAGCCAGAAGGATCCACACCACAGCCAACAGAGACAAATAAAAAGTCCTGCCCTTGGCAGGGAGAGACCCTGCGAGGGAACAGGTGTCCAATTTTGGGACCCCAAGTTCAGGAAAGACCTGAACAAAGCAGGATGAGATTCGGGGAGACTTCTGTAATTCTCTGATTCTGTTACGTGGTTCTGTACCAAAGACCTTCCTTCTTCAGATATCTTGAGATACTTCACAGTATCTCATGCCCTCTGTGAAGGTTTCTTTGCTCATAAGGAGAGATGTGATTGGAAGATACACTATGTTGAAGGACCACTGAGGGCTGTTGGGTAATCTTTGCTTCATTTAGGAAGTGGTGGAAGGGTGGTAGATTCTTGTGCACATGACCTTTATTATTTTCTGACTGGCCTGTTTGTGCCCATTATACATTTTCAATGATGAAAAATGATGTCTTTACCTCTTGTAGGTTACAAAGTCATCAGTAACCCCTGTAAACAGATAATACATCTCCATCTACTACACTGTCTATAACTTTAAATAACTTAGGATTAGAGCTAAATATACTTTCTTTATGGCCTTGAATTAATAGCCTGAATTCAGATAGTCCCCATCGCATGAGCAGGCATTGACATCAGTGCCAAAAGTGATAAATTCAGCATTGAAATTGCAGAGTTAGAACCTTTGACTGGCTGATGCTGCAAATTCTTCTATCCTAAAAGCATCATATCCCAGTTTAGTATTACAAAGTCATTACACAGACTGATGAATGAAAACCATTTTGAATTCTTTCTTGACATTTTATTGAGTTGAGCTAAGACATGCTTCTATCAGGAATTTAAGCAAAAATTATACTTTGGCAACTCAAATATGAAGGTATACATGTATCTGATTATTGTCCTTAACAGAACAAAAAATGTGTTATAAAACCCAGCCTCTTTTTTTAATTATTTTTTCTCTCTTTTCATTAACTCTTTTAAGTTTTTAGGAAAGGTTGATTAACAGCAGGATATAATTTTTGCCTTAACCCTCTGTTGCCACTTTTCTTCTTCAGTAATAGATTGCCTTGTCATTAATTATAATGTGAATTTATTATGGTAATTTAAGTTATCCAGTTTTAATTTCCTTCTGTATCTTATGAAGGGTACACACAGAATCAGATACCACACTGAAAAAATATTACAAAAAGCCCAACTCATCTACAGATGGCTAAAGGACTGGTGCCACCGTCAGAATTTTGGTTTTTTTGACCATGGGGTAAACTCCATGGTACCTAGTCTCCTAAAATCAGATGGGATTCATCTTTCTAGGAAGAGCAAGAGGACTGTAGCACATAAGTTGGCAGGGCTGATCAGGAGGGCTTTAAACTAGGTCTGAAGGGGGAAAGGATTGAAACCGGGCTCTCCAGTGATCAAGCTAAGGACAGAAAGCCCGAGTTAAGAACGAAATCAGCAGCCCAGCTGAAGTGCATGTACACCAACGCACGCAGTGTGGGTAACAAACAAGAGGAGCTGGAAGCCATCGTGCAGCAGGAAAGCTGTGCTGTAGTTGCCATCACAGAAACATGGTGGGATGACTCGCATGACTGGAGTGCCGCCATGGATGGCTACAAGCTCTTCAGAAGGGACAGGCAAGGTAGGAGAGGTGGAGGGGTGGCTCTATATGTTAGAGAGTCTCTTGACTCTGTAGAAGTTGAAGTCAGTAACAATAAGGTTGAGTGCCTGTGGATCAAAATCAGGGGGAAGGCCAACAAGGCTGATATCCTGGTGGGAGTCTGTTACAGACCA